AATACTCTCTCTCTCTCTCTCTCTCTCTCTCTCTCTCTCTCTCTCTCGTGTATCATATCATCTAACGTGCGCGATCATCGAAGATTCGCACGTATATAATCTCTCCTGGAAGGAATCAAAATTGATCGTCACCGTACCGCGTAACGTCACATCTTAAGAAACGGAAATTTCCCCGGGAAATGAAGATGTACGGAATAAGCGCGCAGGAATACAGGAACGTACAAACTCGCCGCGGAATACAAAGACCGACTTTATTATCGTTTTACAATCGTTCGAGAGGCAGCGGGATATCAGCGAGCGCTCATTCACGATGCCGATGCCTACGTACAGCCGTATTTCATCGAATGCATAAGCACGTCCAGGGTTAATAGGACGAGATCGTGCGCCCGCTGTAAATCTCGTTTAATTTGCTCTCGCCGCGCACTCGCGCGACCGTCGTTTCCATTGTGCCCGGGTCTCTCCCGCGCGATCTGTCCGACGTATAGAAAATACGAATAGAACCCGTGTGTACCTCGACGTACACTAGGAAACATAGTAATCTCGTGACACCCGGCGCACGCTAACAAACCTCATTTTACACGTCCCGTCACGATTTCTTTCGAGCACGCGCCTAAGTAATTTCGACTCGCTCCTTTCGTCCAATTAGCGTGACGCCGATCCATTATGTGTTCTTTGCAAATCAACGTATCTATACAGCGTGCTGTGCGCACGAGCTCCGCGTTTGGCCCCTATCCGTTAAGCGGATCTTTCAATCGATGATTTTTAGCTCGCTAGAGAAATCGATCGCTACCTAAAAATGCCTGAAAACGCGAGAATCGTTTTCAAGCCTGATTTATAAACTGTAACAAACATTAGTGGCTATCTGTATACTGTCGATAAGTATATGGTTCTTTGATTTTGATCCTCATCCTTCCCATCGTCATGGGAAATCACGCATGACGAAGAAATAATTATAAATCGCGTTCGATAGAAATTGCATCTTGTCTTTTACGTGTACGTCTCTCTCTTTTTGTAAACACGAAGTGGACACGAATATACGAACACAAATCTTGGTATTCGTATGTCAGTAGTATCTTTTGGAGAATTCAGGACAAATTTATTTTATGTAAAAAAGTGTCTATACTTTACAAGTAGTTTTACAAGTGTTTTTTTTTAAGAAACTTTTATATATCTATTTTTATTAGATTGTTGATTATGATATCCAACTAATTAATAGTTAATTACGATTTTTTTCGACAATTTAATTTTTTTGCGAGTGATGTTGCGTGTTCCTGTTACACTTTGTTAAATCGAATATATAACTTTTACTCGCAGCAAAAACTATCTATAAACTGCACATACTTGTACTCTATATATGTCTGTTGTTAGTTTCATAGTTTTTCGTTTAAAATGCATTGTGATGTGTTTCCGCCACGTGGCTCGCTAACATGCGGTCTCTCTTCGCTAACTTGAGAGTTAACGGACTGTGACGTATATCGCAGATCGTTAGAAAAGTATGTCAGAAGGCAATATACGGTTGTTAGTTTACATCAAGATACAGCGAATAATTAATTTTCCATAGCATTTATATGTTGACAGAAATAGAAATAATATAAAATGAACAAAGACGCAAAACTTGGTACTTTCTGAGGGGTGGTGGATTGAGATAGATGCGAACCGGATTATCGCGACTGGATTTATGTCAGTTCGCGCAACACGCCGTTCTAGTTTATAGCGCGAATTGTATGAGAAGAGCCTCACATAGCCTTCGATGAAATACGATATGGTTAAGGATACGTCAGTGATACCGATGTCGAGCCTACTTAAAACTTCTCGAATTCTCGATCGCAGTTCGAATCGCGCGTAGCAGATCGGTATCGCTCCATAATTTATTGATTCGATGAGTTTATATAAAATATCGAATAAAATAACTTCGTAATAACTTCAGTGAGCGATTCCACTGATGACGAAGTTACAACAGAATAAAGAGCGCGTGTGTACAAAAAATATGGGATAAAATTTATTTTTAGTATAGTTAGATACACTAAAATAATGAGAGACAAAACCAAATTGCCAGATTGGAAAAGTTTAGAACTTTTGAAGATTTACTTAATAATTTTTGGATATTCTCTTGTCGATGTTTATTTTATTTGTTTATTTTATTATTATTTATTTTATTTGTTTCTTCATAAATACTTTGAGGGTAATATTTTGCGCCAAATTGATCGGTACTAATATGGCATGTCTTAAAAAAACACAAGTCGATCGTATCGTTGCCACGTACGAGTTTTGTGGAAAAACAAGTTCTACCAGAATTCAGTGCGTCAGATTGAGATTGATCGAGCCAGAGTTCGATACGCCTTTTTTGTTTTCGGCGATCGGTCCAGTACCATTCAACCGATTGCGCACTTTCGAGGAATCACTCGGTGTTTGGAGTGTTTACCGAGAAAGGCACTCCGACTTGAAACGAAAAATTTGCATTACAAATAATGGCCCGTCGGAAATACTCACTTAAGCGAAAAAGCAGTTACACGAGAAAATAATTTATTTGATTTTAAATGCAGAGAATTCAACTCGTATTGATTCGGACTTTCGTTAGAGTCCTACGCTCTATTATCAAATTTAAACATTCATCAATCTTTTTAAAGTGTTAATAAATTTTCACTTATTACAATTACTTGATGTGGATACTTTCTATGAATTATTCTTTTGTTTATTTATTTTTGATGAGAATGTTAAGTAAATCATCAAAAATATCAATATTTTCATATAAAAATTGAATATTAAATTAGAATAAATTTATAATTCAACAAGTATTAAAAATTAATGATTACACCGACTATATACATAAAAAAAAAAGAACAAGAATGAGAGATCATCTGTCGTGGAAGCATGTAATCGAGTTTACACATGGCGCAAAACGATCGATGAAGATGTCTCGTCCATATAGGAATTGATATAGGAATTGATGGTAGCTGGAACGATGATTTTTTTGTCGCTTGTTTCCTCATCGTAATCAATGTCATCTCCGATGTATAGTGTATACTTATGAGCGTCAGGTGCAATCAGGCGCAAAAAGGCACGCGATCCCTTCATCATTCAAAAGGACCGATCTTTTCATAATTCGTAGTGCGTTGCGTTATATCGTTTCATAAATCGCGTTTCATTTCTTCTTGTCAGGACATTATTTCGCATTTTCTCGGTCCTTTCGTTTCAAACCTTGACTTTACTTGCCTTTCGTACAATCAAAAACCAGTCACTCAATGAGTTCTTTGCTTATATAAGGAAAAGGTTAATACAAAGCAAATTTTAATTGTTACTAAAGAAAGTTCAAATCGAAATTAAAAATAAATTTGAAGTAAAACGTGATCGTGAAAATATTACTGGACTTATTTTTTTCGTTTTGAGATTTATTTTATTTTACAAAAATTTGTTAAATTCTTCATGCTAGTTTTATTACAGGATTTATTTATGTAAAAGCGTAACTTTAATTAAAAGAAATTGAAAAAGTATGGTCGGAATATGAATTTTTTGACGATATAATATTTCCACTCGCGTTTATTTGTGAATATCATGTTTAATCCTTTGCAAATTTAACTGTTTGATTATAGCGTGTTCCATAAACGTCCAGCGCTAGGAGCGGGTATCGGTTTGGGTGGTAGAGGAAATGCCGGCGTTGGCGGAAACGGCGGCAATTTAGGAGTTGACGGTGAATGCGGCGATGCGTTGAAGAGACGCAAAGTTCACAGATGCGACGTCGCCGGGTGCGACAAGGTTTACACGAAAAGCTCGCATCTAAAGGCGCACAAGAGGACCCATACCGGTAAGTTGTTCATTGCGAAAAATGATATTTATAAACACATTTATTATTTATGAAAATGAATATCTCATTTATACATTTAATCAATTCGTCAATTTCAACGTTTTTCGAGAAATAGCAACATATTTCTCGTATTAAATTTTGCATTTATTTTTATTTTTATCGTTTATTAATTATTGAAGCGTATTTTGGAAAATAAGAACTCTTTTTAGATCGAGGACTCACAAGCGAAAAATACTATTGTGTCAGATATGTCATTGGAATTGAAAGATTAAAAAAAGATTAGTCAAATCACGCAGCATCATTGTCATCATAAATCTCTCCGTTTCAGTACATAGCGAATAGGACCATCATCTCTCTGGAGTACCGGTCGTGGGGATTCGAGAGAATACATGTATATATGTATATTGTAATATACGTATATATGTGTATCATTGTATTGTTGACGTGTTATTCTAAATACGTTATTTGCGATAAATATCATCACATACCTCGGTAATCGAAGGGATAAGACCTGCCTGCCCCGATAAGCAGGAGATCCAGGTTCGATTCCTGAGGCTGAGGTGGTATTTTTTCGCAAAATAATTACGAGTTTTCACGACTGGTTCGTGGTCGGGCCCCACCGTGACGCACACCCTCCCTTCTTATTTGGAGGGCTTAAGAAGCTATAGACAACTATTGAAACTTCAGTTGGGGAAAGCAAGGTGAAATAAATCAATCGATTCAAAGAAACAAACGCGTTATGTTCTCGATGATCGCTATGTGCAATCGTGACTCTCACGTGCGTGCGTCAGCGATCATTGAAACGATTGGAATCGCTTCGTCATTTTAACGTCGATCCCTTCTCTCCGTTCACGTTTCTATGGTGATGTTATTGTCTCCAACGGTATTGAGCGTCTGTGCGTAAAAGTAACAGTTTATACGCGGGACACTTGAAATAAATGAACGCGCAGTATTTGAGAAAAAAAAAGCTGACGGGAAAGAGTTTAATTGCGGGGACAGAGAGCACCTCGTCATTATCGCGTGCAATTACACGTTATAAGCCAGGACCCCCGTTCAGCGAAGCAGCGCGATGCTTTCAAAGTGAACGGACGTGGAAATCTCTTCTTCTGCACGTAGAAGAAACTTCGCTACGTGTAGATTGGGAATCATTATCTCCGTCTTCCCACGTTAGATCGACGCGAGGCTCGCAACCTCACTACCAAATCTCGCCGTGAGTTCTCTGCCGATAATAATAATGTTCAAGTTGAGCGCGGTAGCTAACGACTTGTCGCCCAGCTGTGTCAAGTACTCGACGGCAAATCATTAGTCATCGAGCATTCCTTTGGTATTCTACGAGACCGGCGACTGCCGCGCTTCTCTCGAGGTGCTCGAATTGGACGTGGTAACTGTCCAGTAGTCGCTCGCCGCGAGATTTACGAGTTACGAGCGCGAGAAATTGCTGTCGTTAATTTCGAAAATCAATTTTCCGCGCGAATTTTATTCGATTAGAGAAATTTCTGATTCTTTGTAACTGGAATCAGTTAATGACGATTGTCAATTCGGTCACGTCTTGATTCACGCACCTCACCAATTTATGTTACAAACTCAAAGCGCTGTGACTCTCTCTCTCTCTC